TTGTTGTTGTTGTTGTTGTTGGTGGTGGTGGTGGTGTTGGTGTTGGTGTTGGTGTTGTTTTTGTTGTTTTGGCTCCGCCGATATGTGACCGGTTGTCGCTTCTATTCATTTGTTTCCTTTTTTGTGACCGCTGTGCGAGTGGTTGGAGGGTGTCACTGCTAGTGCTAGGTCCTACCTCTTGTCTTTCTCTCTGCTGGGTTCTGTCTGTGTGTGTGTGTGGTTGGCATGGAGGGTGTCACTAGTAGGTCCTACCCTTTGTCTTTCTCTCGTTGGGTCCTGTCTGTGTGGGTGGTTGGAGGGTGCCACTAGTACGTCCCACCTCTTGTCTTTATCCCGGTTCATTCTATCCGTCCATATGGCTTTTCCCTTTGCCACCCTGTTGCCGTGGGTGGTTGACGGGTGCCCTGGTGTGGTTTGCTCCTTCTTTCCTATAAAACCTATCGTCCTTTAAATTATCTCCCCTCCCTCTTTGTGTAGGTTACTCTCAAGTAACACCTCTTATCTTCGGAACTTATATGACTTTACTGTGTTGCAAGTGCCATAAAACACTTACTAGAACTCTCTGTGGCCGTTGTGGTGTCGGTCTGTTGCCAGGGTTGGTGCTGTAGTGGTTAGAACATTCACTACGGATAGCGGCTAGACGTGAGATCCGTTTGCGCGTGTGTATTGGGATTTTTAAAATACTATTTTGGTGTGGGGTGGCTTTGGAGGGTGGGGAGAGGGGGGGGTCATGGTTATACCAACAACGGGAAGGCGAAACAAAGGAGAGGGAGAGAGAGAGAGAGAGAGAGAGAGAGAGAGAGAGAGAGAGAGAGGGTAGTTTACGGTTAGGTGAGGAAGAGAAGGGTAGTGGTGGTTTGGGGGATTGGGGTTGAGGTGTGGGGAGAGGAGGAGACAATTTGAAACCTAATTATTAAGAAAGATAGTAATTTAACTCATTCGCTATGCCGAGCCGTGGGGGGCGGCGCGGCTAAAGTGCTGTCAGTACGCTAAGCCGCCCCCGGCGGCTCGAGAACCGATCTTCAATTTTAGCTTAGATTCTATTCCAATCCACATATCCATGTTAAAATAAAGGTCATAATTTAAAGTTGACTTCCGGGTCAAGCGTTTCCACAGAAAATCGGAAGTTTTGATTCAGTTTTGAAACACAATTTCGAAGTTTATGCGACTTTGTTTTATCGCGACGCTCAAATTATAGCCCAGACCCCAGTCTTACTACTTTTACACAACAAAATATATCATTATTTTGCACAGTAAAGAAATGTAGGACTATTCTTTAGAATATTGATACAATTGGGCTCAAATTGCCATTGCTCTGTTATTAAGAAATCAATATTTTTCAGTGCTAGATCTAGATCTAAATTGTCAAATAATTTTTTCTCTCCCAAAAATCACAATCTTTTTGGTGAAATTACACAAAAAGTAACACTCGAGACATGTGTAGGTTTATTCCAAATGCAATTCGGAATAATTCCATATACGATATGAGTGGGGTTTTTTTCTGTTTGTGAATGCATCTTGTCCATTTTTCAAGATTATTGAAAAATTATTGTTTTTTCAATATCGGATGTTATGATCCAAATGTACAAATATTATGGAATGTATGTAAACAACTGCAAATTTTTCAATATTTTCCAGTTCTATATTCATTTATGGTTATTTTGATGCATCATTTGACTTGGTGCAAAAATATTTTTTGAGTTTCACCGAAGATGATTAATTTTTTATTTTCAAATTTTATCCGCATTCAAGCAAAATGTGTTGCATAATCGCCTCTTACAGGAACCAAAGTTGAAAAACGCAAAAATAAACATTACAGATGTATTCTACAAATCATACTGAAAATTTCGGTGCATAATATGTTAATATTTATTTGAATTTGAGACCCCAAAGACCTTTGAAATGCACACTAGTCATCATCTCATTTCCCCTTCCCGAAAAAAATTCGTCCACAAGCCGAAAATAATAGGAAGCGAATGAGTTAAACAACAACCCCCCCCCCCCAAAAAATAATCTCGAACTACTTTTGCTGATGGTTAAATTTTGCCCTGGACAGAAAAAAGATACAAAATTTCTTCAATGGTGGACCTAGAAAACTAGCGGGCTGAGAAAAGAAAGAGTATAAGTTCCTTAACGGTGGTTGGCGCGTGCTCTGGTGTGATCTGCTCTTTCTTTCCTAGCAAACACCTACAGTCCTTATCTCCCCTTCTTTTTCTCTCTGTTTGTTACTTTCTAGCCAAACCTCTTATCTTCGGCACTTATACGGTCGCTTTTAAGCACAAGGGGGAAATCCCAAAAAATGCTGTTTAGAGAAAAAGGAGTTAAAGTTTTTGCCCCTTGCTCAGTTTCTTTAAAAGACAAGGAGAGTCTTCTCTATAACCAAAAAAATGTATACACCAATGAAACCAAACTTTTTCTTTAGGTAGGAAAATGTCCTCTTTTGGTGTAGGTCAAGATTTCTGGAAATCCAGGAAATCTGGGTTATAGCCCGCTTGTCCTTGAAAGCGACCAAATGACCTGTTTGTGTAGCTAATACCGTAAATCTCTCCGACTAAAACTAGAAAAAGGTCCGGTCCGTACCTCCTGTATTATGCCTCTATAAATAAATTATTGATGGTCCGTACCTCCTGTATTATGCCTCTATAAATAAATTATTGATGGTCCGTACCTCCTGTATTATGCCTCTATAAATAACTTATTGACGGTCCATACCTCCTGTATTATGCCGACAAACTCTGAAAAGGACCAGTTGAGCTGGTTCATCAGAGAGTCGAGGAACTTTGTCGAGCGCGCTTCCTCGTCTAGCAGGATCTTGGCCAGGAGCGATTGGAACTCTTGGGATGGGCATGGTTCTGGGAGAGGGGGGTGGATGGGAGAGGGAGAGATGGGGGGAGAGGGTGGAAGGAGAGGGAA